TGGTAATTGGAGTCCAGCAATATATTTTGAGGCTTTATGTCGCAGTGTAGAACCCATTCCAAGCACTCTTCATGTAAGTAAGCAAGGCCTTTTGCAGTACCCACAGCAATCTGAAACCTCGTGTCCCAATCAAGTGTTTTGGAGTTCAAGTTTTCTGACAAGGACCCGTTCGCCATGTACTCGTAAACCAAAAGCTTGTGCCTTCCCTCGGCACAGTATCCCCAAAGCTCTATCAAGTTCATGTGGTTAAGCCTGCCGATGGTGCTTACCTCCGCTAGGAACTCTGCCTCTCCTTGATTAGCTTCTCTGAGTCGCTTGATTGCCGCCACTCGACAATCTGGCAATACCCCTTTGTACACCACCCCACCACCTCCTCTTCCCACCTCATCACGAAAACCCCTCGTTGCCTGCTTTAGCTCATTATAAGTGAATCTTTTGAATCCGGTCGCAGCAGGTATGTACCCACCACCCATGTCTAGATGGGTTCCATTTCTATTCAAGAAACACCAGACCAGACAAATGGTGATCACCTCAACACATCCAACCGCAGCGGCAAACCAAACCAAGAATGTCAGCAACCCATTTCCGCTCCGTTTTTCATAAACTCTGTCAAGCTGCTGCACCATATTAGCAGTCCCTGAGCAATCTAACTTATTCAAGAAGTCCTTGTTTAAAGGTGTTTGAGGCACTTTCACAAACAGGTCTCCTGCGAGACTCGGAGACCAGTGTCCGTTGCGAAGCACCCATTTGGGATTACAATCATAAACACCACTGCTCTGGTTAAACCTGTGGTGGAACCCTTTGCAATCGCACGAGTCCAAGCACGTCTTCAAGCATCTCCGCAAAGTGTAGTTTAGCAAAATTTGGATGTCATAGCCATAGAAATCAGCATTTGGGACCTTAAAAAAAGTGAAATTCTCCTCACTTTGATTGCAGGAAAGGTTGACTTCAGGTTCGCATCCGCGAGACCAGTCAGTAGGATCTCTGATTCTGAACCCAGGTAAACACGAGCATTCTCGTCCAAACCCAGCACTATATCTACACATACCATTGAGTCCACAAGCACCATGAATTCTACACGCTTTCGACTTGGCTTGCCAGGACACAACCCAATCCACAGTCTCCTCTTTCAAACTATACAATCGAAGATTACCATCAAAATCCAGAACCAATCTTCTCTGAGGCCCTGCACCATAATCAGCAGCTCGAAACTCCAACTTATCCGATGATAGAAAATGACCCAAGAAATCAAACTCCGCAATTCTCGTGTCGTTGTACCTTGATCTTCCATCGTTATCAGCAGATAGCCATGCATCTGGCCAGTAAATGCTAGAAGTCTCGGGACCGTCAAAGACTAGACGGAGGACATTGTCGTCATCGAAGAAGAGCTTGTAGAGGCCGGAGGAGTAGTTAGTCCGGCTTCTGGACGAAACGAGTTGGGTGTGTCTGGTAAGAGGTTGTTGGGGAAGAAGGGTATCGGTGGGTGAGTCGAAGCTCTGCCATAAGAGAACATTGTCTGAAGTGCTGAGAATGAGGTTTCCATTGTCAAGCAAGAGTAGCTGCACTGAAGAGATTGAAGCTGTGTTGGTGGCCCAGAGAATTGACTGGTCTGCGTCGATTAAGATGAGATCGCCATTTTTGAGGAGGGAGAGCTTTGAGAGTCTGCCATTGATGGGTTGGTCTCGGTTGGCTAGCCAAACTAGAGTGTGGTTTCCATGGGAGGAGGGTTTGGTGAACCAGATTGCAAAGCCATAAGCGTTTTCTCCGAGGGGGTAAAAGCCAGAGGAGAAGAGGTTGTTTGGTGAAATCAAAACGTGGGTTGGGTTCTCGACTGAAAGAGATGAACCTTTGCTTAAACTAGAGAAAGTTGCAGAAGAAGATGATGATGAAAATGGAAAGGAAGATAGAACCAAGACATAAAGAAGAAGAAGAAATGAAGTAGCCATGAAAATTATTGTACATGAATAGTTGTTGAGAAAAGTTGGCAATGGGAACAAAACAACATGGCCTTTTAATATTAGCTATCTGGAAGAGTAGATCTAACAAACCACTTTTGATCTTGAGTGAGCTTTCTTGAGTCAATGTGAAACCACTTTTGATCTTGGGTGAGCTTTCTTGAGTCAATGTGAAAACACAGAAATTGTAGACTCTAATCGACAACTAATCAATTATTTGTTTGTTAGAACCATGAAAGTCCCTTGTTTGGGAGAAAAAAAATAATAAATAAATGGAATGGCGTAAATAAGAGATCAACTGAATAAAAAGAGGAATGTTAGGAATATAAAAAAATTTATCAAATGAATGACCAAATATATCACGTGAGCATGGAGTCCACTTTTTTGTGGTCTCACATCATATCAAATGTTTAGTCATTCATTTGATAAAAAATTTAGAGCTTATAATATTTTCTAAGTAAGAATATTCTGTTCAAAAATACAAAGTAAGAATATAAACTAATCCCAAAAGATGATCTCATGTTGAAATTCTAAGGGAGTACGATCCCAATAAAAATAAGATGACTTTGTAATAATTGTGAACGAAGTAGCCGACGTAACGGAAATGAAATATAATAGCAATCGAATTTTCAAGTCTATCTGCGTAAAGCCAAAGTCTGACTTTGGTTGCAATGCATTTGACGCAAGCGACAGATTTTATAAACATGTGGCGGGTACGATTAATCCAATTAATCTTCTTGTCGAGGCACAAGATCCTCTACATCCAAAATTTCAATTTCTTTGTAAATTAAAGCCTTGTTTGAGGATTAAATATTTTAGTTAAAAAGTTAGAAAATCACAATAAATTATCACATGACGTTCTGTTTTTTACATATCTTTTTATAAAAAATCAAAAAAGTTATTAAAATAACATATTGTCAAACGAAGTCTAAATTTCTTAAATATCCTTAACTTGTAATTTATAAGTCGGTTTTCAAGATAAATTTTACCCAAGAGATTTGTATAAATTAAATAAATAAATAAACTGAGTAAGTTCTAATGGTTTGGTTTGTATTATTCACAAGTTTTCAATTCGAATTTTAGGGTATTAAAAGGCTTGGAAGATGCAACAGTAAATCCCCAGGGAAACCTATTATTTCCTCATGCACCACATGTTTGGGCCTATCTTTCATGTCAGTCAAAGTGGTAGGTAGTCCTCTGATCAAGTTTGGTTAGGTAAGTTAACCCTGTTAGTTTTTATAAATTAAAAACTACTTTTTCATTCAAATTTATTAAAGAGATTGTTCGATGATTCTCTTTTTTAAAAAATAAAAAATAGTTGTACCATTTCTGAGTTATAAATGTGTTATTATACATGTGCTAGTATGGTGTTTCCATAACGTATTGCAAGTTTCCAGACTGGCCATTTTTTTCTTAAAAAGGTCAATCTATTAATTTTCATCGACTGTGTCTAAAATAACTTAACTCAAATATTGACATAGTTACAAAATGCAAATAATTATTTTACAACATTACATTTGTAAGATTAGTTTGAGAGAGTGAGAGAAGCTATAGAGTGAGAGAGAGACTCTGAAATGTTTGTATTATGTTGTGTGATTTACAAAGAGATGAAGGCTCTCTTTATAGAGAGAAAAAGGGGCATTGGATACCACCATTATCACCGAAAGCAAACACTATACAATTAATAATATAAAGTTAAAGCTAGTCTATCATAAAGCTATACAAATAATAATGAAGTCTGCTAAAGCTATGCTAAAGCTATTCTAACAACATTATTGAAATACTTTCACAAGGCTCTAACTGTCGCGTTGGGATCCTCTAGAGTGATTTGGTGAAGTGATCCTCTAGAGTGATCCTTCACAGCCCCCGACACCTGTCCCACTAATGAAGCCAATGGCTGAGATCAATCCCAAAAAAAAAATTCTTTGTTTTACAGTTTGAATGCAAGAGGAGGAGAGAGAGAGAGAGAGAGAGAGAGGAAGAAAGGGAGAAGGGGCTGAGAAAGAACTTGAAGAACAACTTGAGATTCAGCCTCGTGAGCAATTTTGAAAAAAAAAAAAAAAACAGGTTTCAAAACATCATCAAAGATACATTCTTCTTTCTTTATTTTGATTGCAAATCTGAACCGATCAATTTCTTGAATCTGAACAGCAATGCTCTGAGTAAATATCCTTAACTTGTAATTTATAAGTCGGTTTTCAAGATAAATTTTACCCAAGAGATTTGTATAAATTAAATAAATAAATAAACTGAAAACTGAGTAAGTTCTAATGGTTTGGTTTGTATTATTCACAAGTTTTCAATTCGAATTTTAGGCCATGTTTGTTTGGGTGGACATGAGCTTGGGATTGGACTAATAGTCCAATAAAATTATTAATCCGATGTTTGGTTAAACAATTGAAGGACGGATTAATTATTTTAAACTTGACTATTAGTTAAGATAGGATACATAATCCAACAGATTCGTAGTACTAGGACTATTAGTCATGGGAATGCTAATCCAGTCCGCCCAAACAAACATGGCCTTAGGGTATTAAAAGGCTTGGAAGATGCAACAGTAAATCCCCAGGGAAACCTATTATTTCCTCATGCACCACATGTTTGGGCCTATCTTTCATGTCAGTCAAAGTGGTAGGTAGTCCTCTGATCAAGTTTGGTTAGGTAAGTTAACCCTGTTAGTTTTTATAAATTAAAAACTACTTTTTCATTCAAATTTATTAAAGAGATTGTTCGATGATTCTCTTTTTTAAAAAATAAAAAATAGTTGTACCATTTCTGAGTTATAAATGTGTTATTATACATGTGCTAGTATGGTGTTTCCATATCGTATTGCAAGTTTCCAGACTGGCCATTTTTTTCTTAAAAAGGTCAATCTATTAATTTTCATCGACTGTGTCTAAAATAACTTAACTCAAATATTGACATAGTTACAAAATGCAAATAATTATTTTACAACATTACATTATTGAAATACTTTCACAAGGCTCTAACTGTCTATGCAACCATTGGATCTCACTGTAGAGAGATCACTCTAGAGAAGAAACTCTAGAGGATCCTCACGCCTAACTGTCTATGCAAAAGCTGAGTAGTTCTAGAGTCCAAGCTGAGCCCTTTCCTGAGCAGCCTTTCCTGTCTTAGGCCATCATGGCATGGAGTGAAAAACTCGTGCCTCAGCGCTTCCTCTGCACTTATCCTCGATCTCGGATTCACCGTCAGGCACTTCTCCACAAGATCAAATAGTGATCTTGGAATAAACTCCAAGAATTCTGGTCTTTTTGTGTTCTGTTTGCACCAATCTCGCAGTCTTGTGGATGTCAAAAATTTCACATCAAAAAGGTCCTGTGACAGAACTGAAAGTCTAAATAAAATAGTCAACACAATAGTACACTTGATTAGTTTATAATTCAAGTGATGAATACCACTGGACATGAAGATTCACGGTTATGTAGCTTTGCCACTTCCCAGAGATCTTCACTGCCCTTTAACTTTGCAATTTCCTTTATGTTCCTGCAAATGACAGCAATAATGTTGGCGAGATGGATAATGAGGATGTAAATCAGAGTGTGCATTTAGTTTTCTTTGATGAATAGCAAGGATTCTCACTGTTCAGGTTCACCAGTAAATGGTGTTCTTCCAATCATCAAGTAAAGTAAGGTGACCCCAGCAGACCAGATATCCACTTTGTGGCCTTGATGTGGTGACCTGAACAATACCTGCATAACTACTCAATATTATATACTAAAAAAGTCTAACAGTGAAATCCCAAGACGAGATGAGCAATAAATGTTGTATGAAACTTCAGGATATAAATTTGCCTCGAGGAATCAAAACGAATTGCCAAGGGAAAAGAAAATTCTATATTTTTTTAAGGGTAGAAAAAATTATTTCCATTTATGAATTTAGGCTGCTTGTAATTTCCTTTCTGATAACAAAGAACATCTATTTCGTATATCTCGAATAATCATTGAGTACAATATATATAACGTAAATGAAATAAACCCTAACAATCTAATAGACGAAACTACCCTAAATAACTAACAGAAAATAAAATAATCTTCACACCCCGCCTCAAACTGAGGATGCGAGCGCAGAAAGTATCAAAAATTTGCCAAGAAGAGAACGCAAACGAGCAACAGTATGAGTCTTCGTAAAAAAATCAGCCAACTGAAGAGAGGACGGAACAAAAGGAAGAGAAATAGTGCCAGCCTGAAGATGCTGTCGGACAAAGTGGCAATCGATTTCAACATGCTTGGTCCGCTCATGGAAGACTGAATTATGAGCAATCTGAACAGCACTCTGATTATCACAATACAACGGAATCGGATCAGAAAGAGAGATGCCCATATCAGAGAGAAGCCAGCAAAGCCAAACTATCTCGGAAGTAGCATGAGCCATGGCACGATACTCAGCCTCAGCAGTGGAACGAGCTACAACAGACTGTTTCTTACTTTTCCAAGATATGAGAGAATCACCGAGGAAAACACAAAGACCAGAAGTGGATTTGCGATCAGAGATGTCACCGGCCCAATCAGCGTCAGCACAGGCACGAAAAGTCAAGTCCGAAGAGGCAGATAACAGCAGAAATTGCAACAAAGTGCCCCAAAGGTAGCGCAGAGTACGGAGTAATGCAGCCCAGTGTGTGGAGCGAGGAGCAGAAACAAACTGACTGAGAATGTGCATAGCATAGGAGATATCCGGACGAGTAACGGTGAGATAAACAAAGCACCCAACCAACTCACGATACAAAGTGGGATCCTTAAGAGGAACGCCATCAGAAGCAGAAAACTTAGCATGCAACTCAAGAGGAGTGTCGACAATCTTATCATCAGTGAGATTGGCACGAGAAAGAATATCACAGGCATATTTAGTCTGAGAAAGAAGATACCCGGTAGGAGAAGTAGTAACCTCAATACCAAAAAAATATCGAAGAGACCCTAAATCTTTCATCTCAAACCCCTGAAACAACTGATGCTTAACCTCCTTAATAGTACTACAATTAGAGCCAGTGATGATCATATCATCCACATATAAGAGAAGAAGAACAAGGCCAATAGAAGTACGCTGAACAAATAGAGCACAATCATAATGACTAGGGCAAAACCCAAGCTGAAGTGCAACAGAGTGAAATCGCTCATACCAAGCAAGAGGAGACTGCTTAAGACCATAGAGAGCACGGCGAAGATGACAAACCACACTAGGAGAGTGTGAGAGACCCGGTGGAGGGCGCATATATACTTATTCTGCAAAATGCCCATTCAGAAAGGCATTTTTGACATCAAGTTGAAACAAAGGGCAATGATGGGCAGCAGCAACAGAGATAAGAGTGCGGGTAGTAGTCATCTTGGCAACGGGGGCAAAAGTCTCATCGTAATCAATCCCATACTCCTGAGAAAAGTCCTGGGCAACCAAACGAGCCTTGTATTGTTCCAAAGAACCATCAGAAAGGGTTTTGACCTTCTAGACCCATTTACAGCCTACAATATTCTTGCCAGTAGGTAATGGAACCAAATCCCAAGTCTGAGTGTTAGCCAAAGTAGTTAACTCGTCATTCATGGCAGCAATCCAATTGAGATCATGACAAGCTTCTTTGTAGGACCTAGGCTCAAAATAAGTATGAAGACAAGAAAGAAAGGACTGATAGAAAAGGGAAAAACATGTATTACCAAAACCATACCAGTTCGGAGCACGACGATCACGTGTGGGAAAACGACGTGTAAGAGGAGCGGGATCCAAAGAAACAGCTGGAGGGACAGTAAAGCTAGAGACAGGCGACCTCAGAAGTGTTTTGCGACGCTAATAAACAAGAAAAGGAGCAGGGGAAGCAGGAGCTGGAGAGGGAGGAGCTGGCGAGATATTAGAGGTACTAGGAAGAGGCAAGGTAGAGATCTCAAGATCAGAAACAAACTCATCAGAAGAAACATCAGAAGGAAATGGGTCAATGTGAACCAATTCATCCTTGGTAATAGGGACAGGGGTGGAAGGTATAGTGTACTAGGATAGTTTTTCCAAAAAAGTGACATGCCTAGACACATAAAGCTTTTTGGTGGCAGGACCATAGCACCGATAACCTTTCTGATTAATGCCATACCCTAAAAAGACACATAGGACACAACGAGAACTAAGCTTAGAGCGCGCCCGTTTAGGAAGGAGCACAAAGCATGTAGAACCGAAAACACGAAGAAGAGAATAATTAGGAGTAACACCAAGAAGACGCTCATACGGAGATGAGCCGGAGAGAAGAGGAGTAGGCATCCGATTGAGAAGATATGCAGCAGTAAGCACAGCTTCTCTCCAAAAGACAGAAGGGACAAAGGATGAGAGTAGCAAAGAACGAGCTGTATCAAGGATATGGCGATGTTTACGCTCAGCTCGACCATTTTGGACAGGAGTGTCTAAGCAAGAAGACTGATGAATAGTACCATGAATAACTAAAAACTCCTCAAACTTAGACAAGTAATACTCACCCCCCAAATCAGAACGGAGAACTTTAATGGTGGTGGAAAATTAAGTGCAAATCATGGAGTGAAAATTGGAATATATTTTGTAAAAATCAGATTTTCGTGTCATCAAAGAAACCCATGTAAACCGACTGTAATCATCCACAAACGACACATAATATTGCGAACCTCCCTTAGTAACTATAGGTGAAGGACCCCAAACATCAGTATGAACCAATTGAAAAGGAGAAGATGAAATAGAACTACTTTTATTAAACATCAGTATGAACCACGACACTCTGAAATATCAGCAATGGGAAAATGGCCTAAATGTCCAGACTGAACTAACATCCTCAAATGATCACTCGACAAATGACCTAACCTAGAATGCCAAATATAAAATAAAGAAGACTTATTGTTTAAACAAAAAGAAGACAATGCAGTAGAAGACACATCTGAAGGAACATGTAAGTTGTCCAAGATATATAGTTCTCCAACTCTACGCCCGATCCCAATCTGCCTCTTGGAGACCCGATCCTGCACAACACAATGAGAGGAAGAGAAAACAATATCGAAACCGGAATCAGATAATTGACTAATAGAAATAAGACTAAGTGAGAGGTGAGCTACATAAAATACAGGAGAAAGAGACAAATGGAAAAAGGAAATAGAACCAATAGAGGAGACAAGCATAGATGAACCATTAGCAGTAGCAGTAGTGATAAGAGAAGGAGGGGAGACACAATTACTAAGGAGAGATGCAACAGGGGTCATATGATGTGAACATCCAGAATCAAAGATCCACGAAGTGTGGATATTACCTGAGGATGATGAACCAGACAAACCTAATTAAATGGTAGTCATACTGGAAGCCTGGGACGAAAGAGTTGGATTGGCCACCATGAAAGACTTGAACTTCTTAAACATAGACTGCATATTGGAAGATAGACCATTCTCAAAAACTGGTGCAGAAAAGGCGGCGGATGAGCGAGATCCCGAAGATGTCGGCTTAGAGGATTATGGACCAGGTGAACGACCCTTGGGCTGTACCAGCTTAGGACAAGAATGTTTCCAATGACCTTTCTAATGACAGAAGCTGCACTCATCCATAGAAACCCAAGGCTTGGGCTTACCAGTAACTTAAAATAAAGGAGATGGTGGTTTTGGCAAGAGCGGAGGAGTGGCAAAAACTGATTGGGAATGAGGAGTACCATGAGCCACCTTAAAGCGAGTTTCTTCTGCAATAAGCTCACGGACAACACCATCGACAGAAGGCAAGGGGGACCGATGAAGAATAACGCCCTGAAGTGGCTCAAACTGATCACGAAGGGCCATAAGAAACTGAACAAGACGTTGTTTCTCCCGATACTTGGTATAACTGTCAAGTAACTGCAAATCTGATGGTTCCGTTAGAGCAAGCTGATCCTAATAAGTAGTCATCTCATTATAAAATTTTTGAATGGACTTATCTTTCTGACTAGCACTGCGAATGGACATCTCAAGTTCATACTGTTTTGCAAAGTTAGACTCAAGATACATAGTTTTCAAGTAGTCCCAAACTTGTTTAGAAGTAAAATACTTGGAGAAATTCATACCAATGGTGGTTTGAACTGAATTATGAAACCAAGTAAGAATTTGTGCATTTTCCTTATCCCATTTAGCAACATCAGCCTCAGTTTCTTTGGATTCTAATGGTCAAGTAGTTACACCAATAACATAGTTCCACATACCTTTACCCACAATAAAATTTTTCATTACATGAGACCAATAAGAATAATTTGTGCCATCCAACTTAGTGGTGATAGCTTGTAATTTATCATCAGCCATATTGTTGTAATCAAACAACCTAGTGCAAATAACAATAGTACCAGACACAGATACACACTGAACCAGAGACCACGATGACGAAGTGCGAAGAAAAGAGAGAGAGAGTAGTACCAGTTAGAGAGATATAGTGAGCCAGAGATCACGATGAGGAAGGGCGAAGGAAAGAGTCCCAATCCCAGCGACCAGAACCACGAATGACCAGAGAGAAATCAAAGTAGAGTCAGGCAGTTGCGATTGACGAGAGAACAACGAACGACATTGAAGACTTGGAGCCGAAATTAATGAGAAAACCACGAACGAAATTCATGAAGCAGAACAGAAGAGGCAGGCGCGAGACAGGGCAATCGGGTCTCGAAGCCAGGCAGAGGCATTTGCGAGAGAACTGTTGGTCGCTAGAAGCCTTCAGTCGAACCAGACAATCACAGAGAAGAAGACGTTGACTCAAGGGC